CTGAATCCTTATTGATGATGAATCCTCCAGAACAACCACCTGAACCAGACCCTTTAATGGAAGAAGACCTCAGACCACTTAACAACCAAGAACCTCAACAAATCCCCACATATGGTGACTTCTCCAAAGGCTTTACAATTGATGACATTCCCCCATCTCGATGGAATGACAGATTTAAAGAAATCCAAGGATGGATGCATTCTGAAATGCTCAACCCGGCTAATTCTTTAGCTGGAACAATTTCTAAAGTCATTGTCAGATTAAGAGGAAGACTTTTTGACTGGTACATAGGTCTTGGAGAATATAGGCAAATGCAGTTGAGAAATAGTGAGTCCATTATTGAGTTTCTTAATTATCTTGTTGTTGAATTCTCAGGCCCAGTGAAACATGAACAAATTGTTGCAAGAGAAGAGTTTTTTCAACTCAAATGTTGTTCATTCAAGAGACAAGATCTTGAAAAACACTTTTCAGAAATGAATAAAAGCTACCATAAGATAGGAGGAATTGATGACGTTAATCTAAAACAATTTTTTCTTGAATCTATACCTCCAACTCATGGCAAAGAAGCTACAAAGACTATGGAAAATCAAGGGCTTATCATTCAAAACACCAGTTGTGGTGAATTATATCAATATGTTATCCATGCCTTAGAAAGATTGTGCAACCAAGTTGAATTTGTCAAAGAAATGGAAAAAAATAAGCACCTATTAGGAAAATCTTGTGATAAACCATATCTCAAGATCAAATGCAATTCAGAAAACAGTGTGCTTGTCCACCCAAATGGAAAGATGACAAAAACCTCAAATACCGAAGGCAAAAGAAAAAAATTCAAGAGATTTAAGTTTCTTAGGAGATCAAAATTTCGGAATTCTAAACACAAGAAAGGAGATAAATGTTACGTCTATGGCCAAAAGGGGCATTTTGCAAAAAATTGCCCTAATCAGAAAAAGAAGAAAAAGATTATCCACCTTCTTTCACAAGTTTTGGATGAAGAAATTGATGATGATTTAGAGTCTGTGTTCTCTCTTGATGATGAGCAAACTTCAGAGACCCTATTGTCTATTGCATATCCAGACGACAATGAGGTAAATGAAATAAGTAACACTCAAATCTCAGAGATATTGTCTCCACAAGAAAGTCATGCAGAAATAGCCAGTTTACCCTTTCAACCAACCCCAATAGCCTTGGTCCAGATACTTCCTGAACATTATGCAAAACCTTTATCCATAACAGCCTTTTTTGATACAGGAGCATCAGCAAGTATCTTGAAACCAAATTTACTGCCAAAACAACTTTGGGAAACATGCAACCAAACTTTTCGAGCTGTTAATGGTGAAAAATTTACAATAAACCAGATTAGCAAACCCATTTTGATAATCCAGCACTTATTATCCAGCACAAACTGTTAGGATCCCATTTGCCCAATAAAGAACTATTGCTTGGATTTGATGTCCTACATCAGGTAAAACTCCAATGGACCTCCAAAGGATTACATTATAGGAACCTAACCTTACCCTGGATTACCTCTTTAGACCAACCTTACAGTTTAGAAACCGTTCGACAAAAAATTTAACAGACTGCTATGCAAATTCCCATACTGAGTTTCTCAAAAAATGCAAAAACCCTCTTTGGAGAAACCAGAACTTTTATGTCAAACTACCCTTCAAGAATAATGAGGACATAAATCCCACAAAAGCTCCCCACAGAGGTTTAAATCCTGAACTTTTGAAACAAGATAAACTAGAAGTTCAAGATTTGATAAAGGAACAATTGATCGAACCTACAAGTTCTCCTTGGGCTTGTGAAGCCGCCTTTTATGTAAATAAAAGAGCAAAACAAATCAGAGGAAAACTTAGGTTAGTAATCAATTATCAACCTTTGAATGCTTTTCTTGCAGATGATAAATTCCCTCTGCTAAACCAAATTGCACTATTCTCTCAAATTTCTCATGCACACATCTTTTCTAAACTTGATTTAAAATCAGGTTTTTGGCAAATAGGAATTCATCCTGATGATCGTCCTAAAACAGCTTTTTGTTTACCAAATTATCATTTTCAACGGACGGTAATGCCTTTTGGTTTAAAAATTGCACCCACTTACTTTCAAAAAGTTTTAAGCAACATTTTTTAACCAATCTCTACACAGGCACTGGTATATATAGATGATATACTCCTCTTCTCTCTAGATCTTGATAGTCATATACTTCTATTAGAAAAATTCTATTCCCTATGTTGTAAATATGGCATTATGCTTTCTGGAGAGAAATGTGTTTTTGCTACAAAAGAAATTGACTTCCTTGGTATGCATTTCCATAACGGAATGTATCATACTCTATGTGGAAGTAGAAGGAATCCTATTAAAAAGTAATTTTCTTACACTCTTCCCAAAAACAGAGGCAAGTGTTGCCTCCAACATGGCATTACATGACATTACTAGAAACTAGGTCTAATTAACCACAAGCACAAGAAAATCCCTCTCTTAAAACCATTCTCAACCAAAAACTCATAAAACTTCATGAAATAACATACTAACTGCCACTCTTGGTCCACAACCTCTTGATTTTCCGAGGAAGTCAAATCTCTAAAAGTTTCTTAAACATTTTGAATTTATGCAAAACTTCAGCTTTAGACTACAATTGAGGTAAAGCCAAGCAACATTGTTGAAGTAATCAGCAGAAGGAACAAAGTCAGATATACATCAAAGGGATAAAAATGCGGCTTTACCCTAAACTAGTGCTCCAAAAAGCGGCCAGCCTAGCACCTAAGCGAGTCAGGCGGGCCTGGGCGAGGCAAAATGGACAGCCGCCCAGGGGCGAAAATGCCCCTCAATGAGGGGCATTTTTGGGTTGTTTTTTTCTTTAAAAGATAAGTATGTAAAAGGTGTTTAGGTTCATATCCAACCAAATCCCATTTGAACCATTTTAGAAAGATAGACACCTAAAAAAAAAATTAGTATTTTGTGATTTTCATGAGATCGAAGGGCTGCTCAAAGTTATGAGAAATCGATCCAAACATCACTTATTAAGATTAGATTTAGTTTTCGAGATTTTTTAGGACTATTAGATGGTTTTATTAGAAGATTTTGAGATTGGAAAATATCTCAAAGGTGAAAGTTTGATGATCAAGCAATCAAGGTTAGTAAAAAAAATTGGGTTTTAGATTGCTTGTATTATTTTGAGATGTCTTCTTCACAATCCAATAAAAGTGTTGATCTGGGTTGGAAATATGGCTATAATCCGAATCTGTCAAATAAAATTGCATAAGATGCAATTATTGTGAGAAGGATATGAATGGGGATATAAACCTGTATAAGAAACATATTGAAGGAATCAAGGGGTATGTTGCCCCATGTAGAAAAGTTCATGATGCTATTAGAGAAGAGAAATTATATGCAATAAAAACAACAAAAAAAAAAAAGAAGAGAGAGGCATCCATAGCAAAGTTGAGGTCTAGGGTTCATGTCAATTTTGATGACGATGATAGTGATCAGGAGAGGTGTGAAGAGGTGGATCAGCTTGTTATATCCCAGACTACGAGGTCTTGGGTCAGGGGGCCTATGGATTGTTTTCCCCTGGCCTGACCCTGAGGTTGCAAGTGAGAAAACAAAGAAGCAAACACCAATTGAAAATATAATCAAGAAGGAAGAGAGAGAGAGAACTGCACAGTACATTACTAAATGGTTTTTATGAGGCAGGCAATCCTTTCAATTTTACTCGCCTAAGCAGCTTCTACACCTCGATAGAGGCCATTGGCCAATTTGGACCTGGGTTGAAGCCCCCAACCCCATATGAGCTTTTAGAGCCTCTTTTGAAAAAATAAAAAAGACGTAAATGTCGCAAGGGAGATTGTGTAGTCACAGAAAGATACATGGGCTCAGTATGGGTTTTTTGTTATGACTGATACTTGGAGTGATACGAAGAGAAGAAGCGAGATAAATTTGTTAGTGAATTGTCCTTTAAGGACCGTCTTTTTTGAGGTCTATTGATGCCTCTGATGATAGCCATGATGCCCATTACATATTTAGAGTGATGGAGAGGGGCATCAAGGAGGTTGGGGAACATGTCATACAGGTTGTCACAGATAATGTTGCTCCTTATGTTGCTGCTACTAATTTGTTATGCATAGCTTGCACTAGTATCTTTTGGACACTATGCGCAGAACACTGTATAGACCTCATGCTTGAGCCTCTTCGAGCTTTAAGCAATAGTTCAGGTGCAGGCTAGGACAATTATGGCTTTCATTTATAGCCACACCCTCACCCTCAGCATGATGCACTGATTTACAAAGAAAAAGATTGTGAGGCTCAGGGTCACAAGATTTGCTACCTGGTAGCTATGCCTCAATAGCATATATTTGAGGAGAGTCCAGTTGAGGCAGATGCTTACGTCGGATGATTGGAGAGCATGTAAGTGGGCTAGGGATCAGAAAGGGAAGAAGGTGAGAGATATTATCCTTTCTAAGTTATGATTGCAAGACCTTGAGGGCATCAAAACATTCAACCAGAAATGGGGGAACATTTTGGTCGTCGAGCGTGACTCAAACAACATCACATCTTGAGCATCACGTGCCTCTGCCTGCCCCTGGAGACTTGAACATATTTGTGAGCAAATTTTTCATATCTGCATACATAGTTGCACCTACTTTCAGCTACATGATGGGAGGCAAACTCTAAAGCAGACTCTCTCACCAAGGACGGACCGAGATTGAGAATCCACAACAAAACCAGTTTGGCAACTTTTTTACTCAGTTCCAAAAAATTTGCATTTTCTTTTGCTTTTTAGATCTTATAATGTACAAAATGCTATCATAAGCACGTTTGTTTTTAAAAGTACTTAGTGCCTGTCTTATAAGAATACAATGTTAACGATTCAAACAAAGAGGGAAAAAAAGGAAGAAAAAGTTTACTTGTAAGGAGGCAAGAAAGTGACAATTGCTTTTTGCAAGTGGTTGGGAAAATTCAATCAACTGCGAGAGGAAATTATGACCGAAGTTTCTAATTACCTCAGTATTGCTAGGATCCAATGCATTAAGCATCTCCATTAATATGTCAGCCACACTCCGAGCATTTTGAATCTCTGCCATGCTGCATCAAGAAGTAGTTCACCAGATTAACAAATGGCCATCGCAGAATAGAACAAGGATCAAATAAAAAATATAACTAGCAACTACAAAGTTAAATAGGACGAAGGTCTCAGAAACAACTGAAGAACATTTCCACACATCACAACTTGCATTATGTCAAAGAGGAGAGAGAGAGAGAGAGAGAGAGAGAAGAGAGAGAGAGAGAGAGAGAGAGAAGAGAGAGAGAGAGAGAGAGAGAGAGAGAGAGAGAGAGAGAGAGAGAGAGAGAGAGAAGAAGAAGAAGAAGAAGAAGAAGAGTAGTAGTAGTACGTAGTACGTACGTACGTACGTACGTACGACTACTACGTACGTACTACTACGTAAGTAACGTAAGTAAGTAAGTAGTAGTAGTA